CAAACGATGCCCATATTGGCGCCGCCGCGACCCGCCACACAGGTGGTGCCCACTGAGGTGTACCGCAGCTCGTCGACCATACAGATACGCTTCCGGAAGAACTATTTCTCGGACCAGAACGGACAGGTGCGCATGTACACGATCATTGTGGCCGAGGACGATGCCAAGAATGCCTCCGGCTTGGAGATGCCCAGCTGGCTGGATGTACAGTCGTATAGCGTCTGGTTGCCCTACCAGGCCATCGATCCTTATTACCCGTTCGAGAATCGTTCCGTTGAGGACTTTACTATCGGCACCGAGAACTGTGACAACCATAAAATCGGCTACTGCAATGGACCCCTCAAATCCGGCACCACCTATCGCGTCAAGGTGCGCGCCTTCACCGGACCCGACAAGTTCACCGACACGGCCTACAGTTTTCCCATACAAACCGGTGAGTGGACAAGTACCTTAAGGAATAAGCAGTAGGTCGACTAGGTTAATTCACGGAAGTAGCTAATTAGTTGAGATGCTCTTGAGAGGAACAGACTGAACCGGAGAGTGGAGAAGATCCTTAAGGAATAAGGAGTAGGTCGACTAGGTCAATTCATGGAAGTAGCTTGTCTGAGACGTTTCTAAGAGGTCAATTCATGGAAGTTATTAGCAGAGACGTTCTTGAGAGGATTCCATTAAGGATTGATTGACTGACTAACAGACTGATTGATTATCAATTCCCAGCTACAAACCGGGGAGTGGGGAAGATCCTTAAGGAATAAGGAGTAGGTCGACTAGGGCAATTCATGAAAGTAGTTTGGCTGAGACGTTTCTAAGAGGTCAATTCAAGGAAGTTATTAGCTGAGACGTTCCCAAGAGGGTTCCATTAAGGATTGATTGACTGACTAACAGACTGATTGATTATCAATTCCCAGCTACAAGCCAGAGAGTGGGGAAGATCCTTAAGGAATAAGGAGTAGGTCGACTAGGTCAATTCATGGAAGTAGCTTGGCTGAAACGTTCCCAAGAGGGAAGCCTAGAAGACATCCATACAAATGGAAAATTCTATAGAGCATACTTTCTTTCCTCGCGGAAAATCAGTTTCGATGGAAGTAGGGACTAAAAGTACAGAGTATGGAGTATGTAGAAAATTCCAAGCACATTAAAGAAGTTGGAAAATGCTCTCTTTGTCATGGGTCATGGGTCGTCTTAGCGATGATAGAAGCTAGAGCTTGTAGAAAGGATCAATCGTACTTGATCCATTGCGTTAGACCCAATCGAAATATAGTTTAAGCTAACACTCAAAACTAACTGAGCTGCGTGTTTTGTTTAATTCCATTCTGTTATAATCTATGTCTTGCCTGTTGCATGTTCTATGATCCTTCGTCATAGAACTGCTGAGCTCGCCGGGTAAGCTGTCGTCCGGCAAAAGCCAATGCTATTATTCCATTTGATATGTGCCTTTAGCTAACTTCTTGGCTTCAATGCTCTTTGCAGATCAAGACAACACCTCGCTGATTGTGGCCATTACGGTGCCGATGACCATAATCCTGGTGCTGCTGGTCACGTTGGTTTTCTACAAGCGACGTCGCAACAATTGCCGCAAGACCACCAAGGACTCGCGTGCCAATGATAACATGTCCCTGCCGGACAGCGTCATCGAACAGAATCGGCCCATTCTGATTAAGAACTTTGCGGAACATTATCGCCTGATGTCCGCCGACTCGGACTTCCGTTTTAGCGAGGAGTTCGAGGAGCTGAAGCATGTCGGCCGGGATCAGCCCTGCACATTCGCCGACCTGCCCTGCAATCGGCCCAAGAATCGCTTCACCAACATTCTACCCTACGATCATTCGCGCTTCAAGCTGCAGCCCGTCGACGATGACGAGGGCTCCGACTATATCAATGCCAACTATGTGCCCGGCCACAATTCGCCACGCGAATTCATTGTCACCCAAGGACCGTTGCATTCCACGCGCGACGACTTCTGGCGCATGTGCTGGGAGAGCAACTCGCGGGCGATTGTCATGCTGACACGCTGCTTCGAGAAGGGCCGCGAAAAGTGCGATCAATACTGGCCCAACGATACGGTGCCCGTGTTCTACGGCGATATCAAGGTGCAAATACTCAACGACAGCCACTACGCCGACTGGGTCATGACCGAGTTCATGTTGTGTCGGGTAAGTCTCTTGGACTTTTTCCCCTTCCAACTGCCTGACTTACTCCTTCTCCCTTCCTCTCTCTCTCTTTCGATTATAGGGCAGTGAGCAGCGCATATTGCGTCACTTCCATTTCATTACATGGCCCGATTTCGGCGTACCGAATCCTCCACAGACGCTGGTGCGTTTCGTGCGCGCGTTCCGGGATCGCATCGGTGCCGAGCAGCGTCCCATTCTGGTGCACTGCAGCGCTGGCGTTGGCAGATCGGGCACCTTCATCACATTGGATCGCATTCTGCAGCAGATCAATACGTCCGACTATGTGGACATTTTCGGCATAGTCTATGCCATGCGCAAGGGTAAGCTCCCAATTCCAGGTCAACCTTCCTACCCAGCTCTAAATCCTTTCTCTCTCTCTCGCCACTCGCAGAGCGCGTTTGGATGGTGCAAACGGAGCAGCAATACATTTGCATACACCAGTGCCTGCTGGCGGTGCTCGAGGGCAAGGAGAACATTGTCGGTCCCGCCCGAGTCATGGACGACAACGAGGGCTTTGAAGGTAGGTGAACCGATTCCACATCGGATCCATCTTGTTGCCTGGTGCTGGGCCGCTCGTTGCGAACGCCTCGTTTTAACACTAACCCACAAATGATGCACAGCATTTGTGATTCGAACTATGCCATGCTCTGTTCACAAAACGAAAAATGTAAGATTGCCACAGACGAAAGTGCACGACCGTTAGATACCCTGTACTAACGCAATGGAAGAAGGTTGGCCAAAAGTGAAAACATCTTGGTCTATTTATACAATATGAAGGCTCACTTAGCACATTTGATTACTCTAGCGCTCATCATCTCAAAATCGATAACCGATAAATCGATTAATCGATACTTATCGATATTATCCTCTATAGAGACTGCATAGTTAGTTATATGAGGATGAGGTGTGGATATGAATGGATCTTACCCCTTGAGAAAAGTAATCGATATGTTCAAGCCGCCTTAGAAAAGTTATCGATATATTGAAGAGCCCTTAACAAAGTTATCGATATGTTTAGCAGACCTAGGCCACATTTAACTCTTCTCTTTCTCTCTCTCTCTTTAACTGATTGAAGGCTGAAATTTTTGAGAAAGATGTTTGTCAAGGGTATCTGGCGGTCGTGTTAACTGCCGCCTGTGAGCAGAGCATGGCGCAGTCGGTGGCACTCGACTGGAATTGTTTTTTTTTTTTTGTTATCTTAACTTTTGGTGCTGGGTGCAAAAACATGACTAACCCAAATGCGAATTTCTTCTAACACGCGCACACAAATACACGTTCTTGTGGTGTGGGACAGGCGCAGATGCTCAGCTGGAGGAGCATGGCGCGATCGTGGCCACCATCGAGGATCATCTGCAGCTGCAGCTGCAACAGGCCGAGGCGGAGGCCATTGACGACGCGAATGCCGCAATTATCCACGACGATCAGCAGCCCCTCACGAGCAGCTTCGGGGTCGGCGTCGGCGTCGGGGTGGGTCTGGGTCTGGGTCTGGGTTTGGGTCATGGTATGGCAACGAACTCGATGAGCTCGTTCGGCGTGGTCGAGGGGCCGGACAGATGACATTCGGCGGCGGTCAATCAGAGCGAGAACAACAATTCGGTTGTGATTGTTCTGGTTGACAACAAGCCCAGCTCGATGATCTGCAAGGAGGGCAGCCGTGTCGACATCGATTCGCAGGGCAGAGAGCCGGCTGGCAAGACCTTGGGCAATGGCTACAATACGCTCCAGCACAGACGCAAATCGCAGTTGATCACATTCAGCGCCAGCTCCTGTGATATCAAGAACAGTCTCAGCCACGAGCTAATCCCAACCGTTGGTCGGAACAATGTGCGCTTGAGCTTTGCCGAGGAGGAGCCCAAGCCGGATGAGGATGTCTATCGGCGACGCTCGCTCGAGCTGGGCGTGGAGCTGCAGCTGAAGGAGCAAATGGCTGAGGAGCAGCAGCGACACGAACAGGATGTCGAGGAGGAGGAGGAAGAGGACGACGAAGAGGAGGAGGATGAGGAGCAGGAGCAGGAGGAGCATGAGGACCACGAAGAGGAGGAGGAGGAGGAGGATGAGGAGGTGCCGGAAGATGTGCTCTACATGCACGACGAATTCGAGACGCACATCGACACCAAATCGAACAACGCGAACGATGACAGCGGCGGCGGCAGCTACGAGGATTCGCATGCGCTGCACAGCTCGCTCGGCGGCAGCAATCGCAACAGCTTGGAGAAGGACGACGATGACATCGAGGTGGATGTCATCAGCACCGATGTCAGCTGCTATGACCAGCTCCTGGGCAATTCCTCGGCTCCCGCCGATCACGATCACGATCACGATGCGGAGGAGGAGGACATTGCCACGCTCATCGGCGATGCGGATGGCTACAGCAAGCTGGGGGGCAAGTTGGGGGTCACAGGTGTCGCAACTGGTTCTGGGTCTGGTCTAGGTCTTGGTCTGGGGGGTGTGTCCAATCTGGCTGCACTGGAGGCAGCTGCTGGCGGCGGCGGCGGCGGCGGCGGCAACGGTGGCATCATCTATGCCAATCCTTTCATGGGTTTGTAATATTTCACGCAATCTCTCTCTCTCTGTCTACCTCTCTCTCACTCTCTCACTCTCTTGCATGCTAGCTCACTCTCTCTCTCCCTCTCTCTTTTCACTGCATGTCTCTCATTTGAGTTACGTTTTGTGTTCCTTGTACTTGTTGTTGTAGCTGTCGCATGTCTCCCACGCTTTATTAATTATTCTATTTATTATTATTATTTTATGCCCTTGCAGTCTAATTTCAAGCAAAAATCGAACTCAATTCCGCTCGCAAGCGTGAAAAATGCGCGAAAAAGAACGTTTTTTTTTTCGTTATCGTTCGCAAACTTCATTTGAGCAAAATCCAAGCCTCCGTGTTGAATACTTGAGCTCAAAGTTGGGCTAGCCTAAAAGAAGTTGCTGGTTCAAGCTCAATTCCAGAGATCTTTGCAAGAGTTCATTTGCAGCCGCTTTCACAGCTTTTGTCAAATTCACTCTCTTGAGTGGAAACTGGGCTAATTTATTAAAGCATTTTACATGGAAAATGGTTGGAAATTGCAGTTTTTTTTTTTTTGGCTTTGCTCATTGAAAATCGGACAAAATCAAATCAATGTTTAGCTGATCTGCTTGAGATCGAACTTATATATACAAAATATCCTTATATAACTATATATATATATATATATATATATATATATATATATATCTGCCCAGTGTCTGCAAGGGTATTTCAACTTCGGCACGTCGAAGTTTTTAATTTGTTGCCCTTTTGTTTAATTTTGTGTTAAATGTCTTAAACATTTTGATAACAATTACTAATATTTTGTGTAATGCTTGCAGATGACGAGGGCATCGCGGAGTCGGGCATGTAAAAAGCGAATCGAGCCAGAAGAAAGATTACCCCCCCCCCCCCCCCCCCCCCCCCCCCCCCCCCCCCCCCCCCCCCCCCCCACCCACCCTACCCCCTTCCCCCCTGATGAATCCATGTGGCAAAACTACATAATTAAATTTACTTAAGAGCAACTCGAAAGGCAACGCTTGATATTATTCTCGATATATGGCATATATATGTATATATATGATACAGATATCTATCTGGTTTGGCTGAGCGATATATATACAAGCAATTTTTATATATATATATGTATGCAACAAAAATATTATCAATTCAATCTTAAAGATCTGTTGTGCACAACGATCCAAGAGTGCGATCAGATATATATATATATATATATCGGTCAAGCTGTTGAGATCGCGCTGCAGCACAGGCAACTATATACCCTTTCTATACATATATATATATATTATCTATATATATATACCTATACATATATATATATATCAATCCAATCCTGCATTGTCTAATGGATACTACCGATATTATTATAACTGACAACATATTTTTATTGCTAGCCACAATTTTTTGTAATGTTATACATATATATATACATATATACGGGCATATAGACATATATATATATACCTATATGTAACTTCCAATTTTTGTACACTAAATGTTAGTTGAGGAAAGGAAAAAAGCAAAAAACACATGAAAAAGGAGCGCTAAAAGGTTTTTTTTTTTATATACATATACTATAAACTATAAATAGGCTAAACATTAAAAGAAAAGAATCAAGAAATAGGCACTGCTTGATCACATACACGATATATATATATATATATATATATATATCTACATACATGTGTACATATACGTAAAATGTATGTAAAAAATTGCAATAATTCAGTTACATAGTTTTAAACAGAAAACAAACATGTTGCGGCATCTAATTTGTAGTCTATTGCTATTATTATTATTTTATTTTGTTTTTTTTTTTTCGTAAACTATATGATATTATCTACCATATATATATATTAACAAAATCTTTGTATATGTGTGTAATTTTGATGTATGTATGTGCTACGTTATAATTGTTTAATTATATAGAAACGTATTTAAAAAAAAAAGAACAAAACAGAGTTAAACATTTTGTGTTTATTTTTTATTTTGAATTAATACAATAAGCTTTTCGTTTAACATAAACTACGGCAAGCTAACAGCGCCAGGCGCTGTTAATGCGCTGCCGCTGTTAGCTTAGCAGAGACAAATACACTTAACAGCAGCTGTACACCGAGCAATTGCAACAACAACAACAACAATAACAGCACAACAACAAATGACCAACGCATTTCAGCAAAGGCGATAATCATTTACACAGCAAAACAACAACAAAACATAAACACAGTTAACTTGTAATGTTTTTTTTTTGTTGGTTTTTGTTTTTGCATCTATGCATAAGTACTGTAACAGAACAGTATGTTAAGTTAGAGTCTGTAGCTTAACAGTAAGCGAATTAACATAAGCATTTAGCCGGTGCCAAATCACACACACACACAAACACACACACACACACACACACACACACACACACACACACACACACACACACACACACACACACACACACACACACACACACACACACACACACACACACACACACACACACACACACACACACACACACACACACACACACACACACACACACAAAAGTAGCAGCAACAGCAGTAACTAAACTAACGGTAACAATAACAATTTAGCAATAGCATAAACGAAAAAAAAAACAAAATAACAAATGTAGTAAAATTTCAGTTGCCAGCACAATTTGTTTCAGCTTTGTTGAAATTAGTTGATAATGTGCAATAGAAACGTTTTTGCTTTTAGACTAGTTAACAGCCTAACTGTATTTCAAACAAAAACAAACTAACAACGAAACAAGTGCTCCCCCCTCCAGCCCACAGGCCACATATGTGCAATTCACACACACACACACACACACATACGAGTATAAACTAAAGAATACATATGCATGAATGAATAACTAACAAGTCTGCAAGCTAGACTTGACATATACATATATAAACGAAATACATATGCATATATACAATATATATATATATATATATACATATAAAAGTACATCTATATCATTGTAATAATTTGTAATGTTTATCAGTAGAATTATGAAACCAAATGGAAATGCATATTAAAAGGCAAGAAAAAACAAAAAGATGTGAAAATTGTAATTCAAATGAATTTGCAACGGATTTTATTGCTGTCCAACACTGCACGTTGGACAGTTATCGATGTGGCGCATACAACTTATCGATACGTAAACGTTATCGAGCACTTTTTTTTTTGATATTTGATTTTGTTAATTTGAAATTAAACTACATTAGAGCTAAAAACAAATAGGTTTACAATTAAATATGTATATACAGCTTACAAGCAATTAGCGCTAATATTAAGGCATAAGAAACGAGATAAATTTCATTGGAATCGTGCGGTTAATTAGTTAGTGCTCGCCCTCGTTACTCTTCATGTTGGCCAGCGTTGCGTCCAGCTCCGATTGGATGTGCTCGAATTGATTGAACAGCTGCTGCAGCTCCGGCTGCGTCATCTCAAAGTTGATGTCCTCGCCGGCGCCCGTCTTCAGCTGCAGCACGGCCAGCGCCGTCTTCTCGCGCTGCTGACAATGCGAGGCAATCTCCACGTTCAGCTTCCAGGCCATATCCTCAATCACATTCGACTCGTAACGTTCGCTGGCCAAATTGTTTAGCATCGGCGTCGTCTGGCGCACCCATAGCCGCAATATGGCATCGATTTTCGCCTCGTCCTGCAGCTGCAGCTTGTCGCGCAGCTCCCGCTGCAAATGGCTCGGCTTGATGATGAACGTCGAGATGCGCCGCAAGATGTACGAGAACGTTTTGATTAGCAGCAGAAAATCTGGGCGTGCCACGCCCACCAAACGTTCCAGCTCCTCCAGCGTATACTCCGGCTCGCTGCTCGTGTGGCTCGTACCGTTGCCGCTGCCCGTGCGTTCCGTGGTCGTTACGCTCGTGCCCACCGTGCCGCTGGCCGTTGCATTGCCCGCAACGCTGACAGCCGGCGACGCTGCGGGCGCACCCGCAGCAGCAGCAGCTGCAGCGGCAGCGCTCGCCGGACTCATCTGACGGTGCACGTAGAGCAGCACCGTGGTGAAGGTATCGTAGGGCAGGGCATTGATGATTTTGATGCCCTCCCGTGCACTTGGCGGCAATTCGAACACGTTCAGTGATTGTTTGGACAAATGAAATGCTTGAAGTGCGCTTACCGTTCGGTTATTTTGATCCAGTTTATGCTCATCTTTCACAACAATGATAAGACAAACATAAACACGAATTTCTCAAATGCACAAGCAGTGCTGCCAACTCCATGTAAAGTGTGTTGCCTTTTGCCAACACTTGCCAATTTGAGTAGCAACACTTGCCAATTTGAGTAGCAGCACTTGCCAATTTGAGTAAAATGCGCGCTTTCGCTTATTTGAACAGACAACAATTTTGCAAGTAAAAATGCTTAGTTTGCTTATTAATTGCAAATAGTCATGAGCTGTAAATCATACTCTATAACTCTGCAAATGTGTGCAAATATTGCATTTGCAGCTGTCACGCAAATAATTACCGCTGCTTGCAAAAAAATGAGTTGCTGCCAAATTCCTTTTATCGATTTTATCATATTCAGACAATGTGGCAGCGCGTGCGCTTAAACTGTCACGTCAACGATTTTGTTGTTGTTTGCTTTATCAGACATAAGCTGACGTGTGTGCTTACTAACCAAATACCTAAAACTAATATATTGCATATTTAGTTTCGTTTTGATAAACTGTATGTAGTGAAGCTAGTGTCAATATCGATAGGCGCTGTAAAGCCGAACATCGATAGCTGAGCCGATAGTTGTGTGAAAAACAACCCAACACTGTTCAGTTGTTGGGAGCATTTTAGCGCAGCGAATGCGACTTAATTGCATTTGTACCGAGTGCAGCAGTGTAAAGAAAGTGCGCGTATACAATATTTATTTAAGTAGCTGCTTATCAATTATATCCATGCCAACAACTATCAGACATATGTGCACAAATACCAGTTAAGCCCCACCGCACTGAATTGGACGCAAAAGTAAGCAACTCAAATATGCAAAATGTTTATGTTTATGCTCGCGCCTATGTGTGCGTGCGTGTCTGTTGAAGCATGTTCGTGTGTGTCTCTGTGTGCGTGTGCGTGTGTGCGTGTGTGTGTTTGTGTAAATAAACAGAGCCCGGCTCTTAGCTGCTAATTTGGACACCAGCCATTGGCCACCCCAAAAAAAGGGGGCTGTTCATTAATTTGCTGGCCGCCTTTGTTTTTGTGCGGCTTTTGTTTGTTATACGCTTTCTTTTCAACCCATTGCCAGACGACTGCAAAAGTTGCTTACACGCATACAAACATGCATAGCTATAAATGTGTGTATGCAGGCATTTAACTGTTTCTGTATGCATGCCTGTGTGTTTGTGTGTGTGTGTAGCTCAAAAGTTCTTGCAGCTTGTAAAAATCGATAATATGCAGAGCGCGCAGCGTCGCTGCTGCCGCTTGTTTATTTTATGCTTCGTCTGCGATTTGCAGCCCCTGCTCCGCTCGGCTGCGCTCTGCACCCTTGCACACACACACACACACACACAGAGAGAGACAGCCTCAACTGAGATACACACACACACACGCACACGAGCATAAGGCAAATATGAAAAAACTATGATTTAAGCTGAGCTCTCAATTTGACACTTGCCGCACTCGCTCTTTCTCTCTCTCTCACTCACTCACCCGCTCACCCCCCTTTCGCTCCCACCCGCTGTGAGCGATCGCGCGCAGAGAAGAAAACGAACGAAACGAAAAGTAATTCACTTGCATTTTTTTTTTTTTTTTTTTTACATATATTCTCACATTTAGCATAGTCTTCATTTATGTTCTGCTTCTTTTTTCGCTCTTTTGATTTTGTTTTTTTTTTCACAATGAACAAATATTGAGGTTTCTTTTTATTGAAAAAGAAAACAAAAACAGTTAATCCAATTACGAGAAATTCCAAGCAGGGTCATGTCGACTTGTAAATGCCCTACCAAAAATTCCAAATTCAATGAAATGTGTAAATAAATTAAAAAGCAAAATTAAGGTATTTATTTTTTATTAATTTTTTTTTTTTAATAAATAAATATAACATTTAATTCTTTTAAGCATGTTCAAGTCGACTTGTAAATGCACTATAAAAATTCAAAATTTTATATAATTTGCAAATAAATTAAAAAGCAAAATAAAAGCATTTATTTTTTTGTTGATTTTTTTTTAAATATAAATATAAAATATATGATGAAAAGTATAACAAAATATAACAGTTAATTCTATTAAGCATGTTCAAGTCGACTTGTAAATGCACTATAAAAATTCAAAATTTAATTTAATTTGCAAAAAAATTAAAAAGCAAAATTAAAACATTTATTATTTTGTTGATTTATTTTTAAATATAATAAATAATAAAAAGTATAACAGTAAATCCAATTACAAAAGTCAAGTCGACTTGTAAATGCGCTGCCAAAAGTCAAACTTAAATTATGTTTGTAAACAATTAAAAAAAAGAAAGTATTTAATATTTTCAAATGTATATAACTAACGCCAGTTCCCAACCAAAACGCTGCACAGTCGTGCATGCCGCTTGGGTTAGGGTATCTGTGTGGTCAGTTGCGACTTGCAGCCGCACTTTGGCACGCGTTTGGGCCTTGCCGGGCGCGCTTCAGTCGGCTGCGTTGGCCGCTGGGGTCAAGACGTCTGCTTTGCGTGCGCTCACTTTCGGGGTCCATTAGCTGGTTCGATGCACTAATACAGAATGCCAATTGCAGCCCTAACAAAACTGGACGAACATGTCTTCACTGGAGCAACAGCAGCCGCCCCAGAAGCGACCCTCTCTGCACTTGGCCGCAGAAGCAGCAGGAGCCGGAACTGCAGCTGGAGCTGAGAGCATGTCCAGCTGTTCGCCGGCAACCACACCGTTGGGCAGCGCTGGCGGCGCCGGCTTCCTGCCGGACATGCCGCAGTGGAAGAAGGATTTGATCCAGCGCCGCAAAACGAATGTGGCGCGCACTAATGCCGCCGCCGCCTGCTCGCCCACAGCCGCGGCGCCGCCAGCTGATGGCAGCTGTGCGGCTTTCCAAGAACCTGCAGGTGAGTTTTCACACACCTGAGTCTGTAAGGGCTTTGCAGCTAAAACCAGGCTTAAAACCTTTCTGAGTCCCTTCTTTCATTCTAAAACCTACTTTAAAGCCTGTCTTAAACCGGTTTTAGGCGTTTAATTTAAGCTTAACTAGCTAATAAACTAGTTGGCCACTACTGTTTAATACCCTTTCCCTAAGCTGCAAAGGTAAGCTACAGCTAATACCCTTTTTTAGCTAAGAAACACAAATACTTTCCGATCAAAGTTCCTTCTAAAACCGCTTTTGCAAGCCTTTACACTAGTCTAAAGTCAGTTTCTGCTAGAAATTAAACATTTAACTAACCATTTGATGCATCTATTATATTTAATACCCTTTCCCTAAGCTGCACAAATACTCTTTTCCTTATAAGCTCAAATACTTTCCGATTTGAACCCTTCTAAAACCCCTTTTGCAAGCATTTACCTTAAATTTGACTCATTTTCTGCTAGAATTTCTCTTGGTGCTCTATTTAATACCCTTTCCTTAAGCTGCTTACTAAATTACATCAGCATACCCCAAATATTTTCCGAGTTTCGAGAAGAGCACTTGAAAGATTCATACTTTCCCTATATACATGAAAATCTTAATGCAATTAGCTAGTTTCTGCTTCAATAACGCCCAATGTCATTTCTTTTGTGCGCATACCAAAATTTTGAACCTAGTTGAAAGAAGACGTAATAGAGCTCTAGTTGGAAGTGCTCGACTAGCAGATACCTTAAGCCCAGCTCAGGACGAAAGCCTTTTTTACAATCAAAGGAATATAAGTGGAATATATTCTGGATCTGTGCGTATTAAACAAGAGTGTACACACCAAAATTTGGTTTAACAAGCTCCAAAAAGCTTCGAGATATGCTCAAAGATCCCATTTCCATATCGTAACCTGGAAACTGGGCAAGTTATCTATAGTTTGCAAAAAACCCAATGTGCACAATACATAGCAGAAACTGCATCCAAAATTTCAAGTCTCTAGCTCTAGTAGTTCTCGAGATCCAGACATATATATGCGCTATAAGGTGGCGCCATCTGCCGGCCAGAATAGCGAAATGCCCTTTCATTGAGATCGGTTCGGTAATTGAAGAGTTTTCATTCAGAACAAAAAACAAACGCACTCATGTGAAAGGTGTCGATATCGATTCATGAAATCGCATATATATATATATATCCATATCGATATCTTTATAGATGTATATATATATATATTATAACATGTGTAAGCCTGCAATTGGCTTTGCAGCTGGCGTCTAATTAGCCACGTTAATAAGTGAGAGCTGATTAAGCACTGAAATTATAATTATATTGAAAGCTGTTTGTTTTACCTGCTTGTTATTTCACCTGTGAATATCGACACACACACACACACACACACAGGCAGAGGCACAGCTGCTATTGCTGGGCGTGAGTAATCGTTTATCGATAACGGCGAACGAGGCTGTTTTTGCTTGAATACCCTGTAAATGCATTGATAATATGTGCATAGATAGGAGGCTATATTGTTTCTATGGCAGTATACCCATTGATATTGAGTCTATAAAGGAGTCTATATTGGTTTCATGGGCGTGTTTGTAACAGGGATCATCAATCGCTGTCAATCTCAATCTCATTTATCAGTTTTTTCTTTTTTTATCGAGAACTTTATTCTGTTAGCCCGATATCGATATATATATATATATATATATAGATTTTGAGCCTTTGTTTTCTCGAAGATTATATACACTTTTGCTTCAGGCTAAATCTCGACTTGTTTGAACTTTTCAAAAAGCATTAAGATATAGATACCTAATAATGAGCATATCTCGAAGATTTTAGCTAAATTTCGCAAATTTGTTTAAACTTTTCAAATAACCCAAAGATATTGATACGTAAGCCTCTCGTTTTTTTTTTTTTTTTGATATATGCACTTGTTTAAATGTCATGTTAAAGCAGTACAAATTTCAGCTAGATCGGACTATGAAGTCCGAAGTTTCTTGAGATCGCATTACCCATAAGTTGGAAGGCTGAGTAGTAAGAAGAAGCACATGCCTGCATATGTATATGTCTATGTATAGAGGGAAAGTCGAACGGCAACTCGTAACAGGGTATCTGCTAGTCGGGCAGATGGAGAGGGTGTGTGTGTTCATATAACAGGAAGTTGAAATATCTAAATGTGCGCATGTTAAACGAACTGAAATGGTGCTTTGCAGGGTATACGAGATAGTCGGGCACACTTGATTCGAGCAGACACTTGTCCGTTATTTTGGTCGCCTGCCAGCTGCTCTTATCAAATGTTATCAATTGATAATTGAACTAAAATTCAATGCAAACGTTCGACAGTTACAGTTACTCACATAGTTGCTGCTATTTGTTTATTTTTAACAAGCGACTTGAATTTGTCATCAATTTGAGTTTCGTTTTATGGCCAATTTTATTGCAGATTCAGGTGCGACTGAAGGCAGCGCAGCAGCAGCAACAACAACTAGTCAACAACAACAACAACAACAGCAGCAGCAGCATGTGAAACGAAATGTAAGCCAAACACAACAACAACAACAGCAACAAGCAGCATTTAAGACTTCACCAACAGAGGAAAAGTCTGAGAAATGTTTTATTGGAAGTGGAGGTCATCAGACGATTCCAACAGCAGCAGCAGCAGCGTCGGCAGCGACAGCGGCAGCCCAAAGTACACAAGGCAAAGATTTAGCCACGGCCTTTTCAGCAGAAACGGCAGCATCAGCAGCGGCAGCAGCAGCGACAGCGGCACCAATACCAAAGCAGCGATCAAGTTTATTCAACACAAGAAGTCAATCAACTGGTAAGGAGCAAGAAGAGATTCTAAATTTGGATACCAGAGAACGTGAGCGTGAGAGAGAGCGCGAGCGAGCGTGCGGTGAGCGTGACGTTGAGGTGAATAGCGCTAGCATGGTGTATGCGAGCGTGCGCTCTGGTGAAGTTGAAACTGGCACAGCGACAACTGGAGCATTAACAGCAATAGGCAACAGCAGCGGCGTCAGCGGCAGCGGCAGCGCAAATGTGAAACAAACGGCAGCAACAGCGGCTACATCGTCGTCGTCAGCAAATCAGTTGCAAACGAAATGCAAACCAGGCCAGAGCGTTGCTGAAGCAGCGCCAAGCAATTACATTAGCAGCAGCAGCAGCAACATAAGCAGCAGCAGCAATACGCCAATTTTAATTGATAAAAATTGTAAATCGAAAATATCCGACAAATTGCAGAGCAACAAGTTTATTAAAAATCAGCAACAACAGCAACTGGAACGCCAAACGGCCGCGTCGCCCACAAAAGTAGCGGTAAAAACGACAATGGTCGCCATGCAAGAAATGAAAAAGACAACCACACAAAATGGCCAACAACGTCATCATCATCATCATCATCATCATCAACATCATCATCATCACCAGCAGCAACAGCAGCTGCAGCTGCATCTGAAAAGCGCCGATGCCGACATGGACGTTGGCGTCGCTGCGCTGCAGCCAACGCTTTTGGACGCCGTCGATCAGCACGAGGATCTCAGCTATGGACCCGGCATTGTGTCCAAGCTGCGCTGCCGTTATCTAAATCTGGCGCTGCGCTGCGAGTCGCGCCAGCAGAGCCAAAATCAGCGACTGCAGCGCTCCACGAGCCTCAATACGTTGCTCGATCGTAACGACGACGTCGAGGATGAGGAACAGCAGCAGGTAAATAGCTCCACAATTGCCGTCGCTGCCGCAGTCAACGTCAATGTGACACGCAGCGCTGCAGCGCCGCCCATACTGAGCGCCAAGCCAACGGGCAACAGTTACATCAAAAGCGTCAGCGTCTTGCAGCAGCAGCAGCAGCTACGCCAGCAGCAGCAGCAGAAGACGGCGCAGCAGGAGCAACAGCAGCCGGCGTCGACGTCGCTTAACGGTAACGCGCTGCGCTCGCGTCATTTTAAGCGCGGCAACGAGGTAATGAAACGCGCACGCTCCGTCGAGGCGCTGCTCTGCGAGAAGTCGCCGTGGAATACGCAACGCGCCGGCTATCAGGCGGCAGCGGTTAATAGCAGCGCAGTCGCAGTCGCTGCTGGCACGACCCCAGCCGCAGCCACAGTCACAGCCACATCGGCTGCCCCAGGCACTTCCAGCTGCGTCAGCATCGAGGATAAGATACACAATGCACGCGAGCGTCTGCACAGCGGCACCGATGCCACGCCCCCAAAGCGTCTAACCTCCATTATAGATGACACCGAACGCCCACCGCCGGATCTTGTCAAGCAGACGCTGAAAATGTTCGAGGCGAGCGCCAATCGTCGGCCGCGCGCCACGCAGCGCAGCAACGGCGTCGGCGGCGTCGCCAGCAAAGTAGCCAGCTACAAGTCGATTATCAAGGAGCAGAAGCCAAACAGCGCTGGCGGCAGCAGCAGCGGCGGCAGCAGCAGCAGCAAGCCGACAGCAGGATTTGCTGCCTCGACACCCAAGCAGCGCGTCGGCAGCACCAATGTTCATGCTGTCGTTCCAGACATCATTCCCAGGCAGCTGGAAGCCAGCTGCGACTACGATTCGCCTGTGACGAGCATTACCAAAATGATGAAACGCATGCAGCTGGAAGCGCCAGATGGTGCGGCAGTGGGCGCAGGCGCAGGAGCGGGCGCGGGTGCGGTTGCGGGCGCTGGCAGCAACAATCATCGCTTAGTCAGCGATCAGCAGCGAACGCAGGCAGCAGCAGCTGGCGAGGCTGACGTTGACGGCGACGACGACGACGACAACGGCAACGACAACGACAACGACGACAGCAGAGACGATGAGAACAACGAAGGCAACGAAAAAGTTGACGTTGACGGCGACGCTGCAGCTGAAGCTGGCGGCGACGGCGACGACGTTTGCAATGGCGTTAAGCTGGGCGAGGCTGGCGATAAGTTAACAGCAACGCCGGCAGCGCTGCCGCTGGACGAGGCAGGAGGCGTCGGCAGCAGCAGCGCCCAGCGCTCATTTGCTGCCGCCTTGCAAGAGAACGCGCACGCTTCCAGCACGAGTTCCAGCAGTCGAAAACTGTCGCAGCGCAGCAGCGATAACAGCGAATCCACAACAACAACAACAACAACAGCAACAGCGACAACAGTAATAGCAGCAGCAACAACAACAACAAAGCAAATTGGTGTCATCAGGCCGCTGCTGAACAACTCCGGGTCCAGTTCCGGCTGCGGCACGCCGCTGACCAGTCGCGAGATTGAAAAGAATCGCATTAATGAAATGAAAAAATCAACAGCACTCGCTGCAGACGCAGCTGCTGCTGCTGCCGCCGCCGCCGCCGCTGCTGCCTCTGCCACTAGTCTCGACACCGTGATAAACACCAAGGATGGCAGCGAATTGGACGCTGCGGCAGCGGGCAGCGGCATCTCACCAATTTGGCCGTTGCGCAAGCGCCGACAGCCGACAGGTGGCGCCAATAGCATTGGAGGCGGCGGCGTCGGCGTCGCCAGCAGCAGCTCCCATGCGGACAGCAACACCTCCATGGTGTTCAACTTCTCCAAGAGCGGCAAGGAGGTGCCGGACTATATTGAAAGCGATGTTGTGATCTACAGACGTAAACGGGAACTGCCAAAGGTGAGTAACACATAACACGCATTACGCACAAATACAAATACAATTCCCACCACAATGCCCCGCACCACACCGCCCCGCCCCTGGCGCTGGCCTAGCCAGCTGTTTGCTGTTGCTTTCATTGCTTATCAGCAATCGAAGTCGTCCACTCTCACCCCCTCCACTGCGTGGAATGCGGCGCCGTTGCGCATTATTCATGCTTATTTTCTGTATGAATTATTATATTTCTTCTTAATCTTTGCAAGCCCCCTTCTCACACACACACACACACACAGACTTGCCTTAACAAGGCCCCCAATACAAACACACACACACACACACACACACACACACACTTGTACATAATTTGTGTTTGTGGCCTCAACTTTTCGCTTGCCATATAAACAAATACGAAACAAAGCGCCCACCAACAGAGCGAGAGAGAGACAGAGAGAGAGAGAGAGGGAGAGTACGTAAGCGAGAGAGCGTGGAAGATCATGCGCATTTTGGAAAGTTCAACAATAGCAACAAAATGTAAAGAATGTCAAAACATTGTGCGCTTCCACAAAAGCTATTAAGCAACTGTAAAATGTCGCATCAAGTGAATCCTGTAATCTGTTTGTTTCAATTAGAGATGAGACCGTGTCGATTTTTTTTTTCTTCAGCACGATGCGCACGATCTTGTAAATTCAAAAAAAAAACTTGGACAATTTGTCAAGAAAAACGCTTTATTATGACTTCTATTGTATAAATATTTCATTTGAAAATGTTCCCATACATTTCTGTGTCACGAAAGAAAGCACGACACGTGCCCAACTCTAGTTTTAGCATCCGCCAGCTTTATAGGAAGCAGCTGAAATTCAATTCCTTATACGTATACGTATACATGTGTGTGTGTGTGTGTGTGTGTGTGTGCTGCGCGTGACGCTGAGGCGCAGCTTGCCGAGTGACCTTCTAAATGTTTGAATGATGCGCAGCCCATGTGAGAAGGCAGGCGCATGCAATCGTCTGAGCTATTTCAAGCTTGACTCGCGATCGCCGCATCATGGAAATTGCTCACAACCGCGTTGCGCAGTGTTCGATAAATTCGAATTATGCAAATGTTTCGCTGATCAATGTCCAAACATGTCTACATACATACATACATACAAACATACATATTGTCAAGTATGGGTGTGTTTGTATTCCAGACGCTTTGCTTAACATTAAAAAATGTTGGATGCATTGCTGCTGCGATTGGCGAATTCTTTCTCTTTCTGCCTGCGATTGCATTGCAAAAACCCGTTTCGACACACACACACACACACACACACACACACAAACATACATATGCACATAATATGTGCATACATATACACATATTACGATATTTCTTCGTTTGTTCTTTGCTTCCTGCTGCTACATATACACACATATGTATGTATGTATGTATGTATGTTTGTATGTGCACATAGGCTAAAGCAGACAAAGATATATTATGACTTATAAAGGAGAGCATTGAACGAGCGGGACGCATGTTGTGGAGCTCTTTGGTGCTGTGGTGAATTGCTTTTGTTCAAGGTATGGGCTGGGGGGAGGGGGCGGGGCCAGGGTGGCTGCAGGGCGCGTTGGCTTGCACAGCTGTTTTTCGAACGCAACTGTGTTGAACAAAAGCGCTCTGCTCAACACACAAAGCCTGCTCACACTCGTTCTCCCTCCAGCTCTCTCGCTCTCGCTCTCTCTCTCTCTGGCGCGCAAAGCACGCGATTGCTCTGACGCTCTTCTTCTTGCTCTTGCTGGCTGGTAAACCCGTTTTTTTGTGCCACACTCTGAACTCAATTTTGTCAATTCTTTTTTGACGTTCAATTCTGGTCGCTTTTGCTTTATGCATTATGTTGTTCTTGTTGTGGCTCTTTATGTATAATACATACATACATACATATGTATATGTTTTTTTTTTTTTGTTATCTGTGCCTGAACTTTATTATCTGCTGTTGGTTACATGCCGTTCATTAGGTTCGGCGAGAAATGGGACAGCTGTGATTCAGAGCGACCTCGAAACCATAACCATCCCCCCCCCCCCTCCCCCCTAGCAATAACTTGAAGCTTTTAAGAAGAGTTGTTTCATTCGAATGTTTCGTTATATTTTCACTTTCCAGCCAAATGAACCGGGCTTCGTGCTGCTGGGCGACCTTTCGGTGGAGACATCGACAGACACGGACTACGATGATTATTCAATGTGCCCGCCCTCGCCCTGCGACGTTGAGTTCGAGAATGCGAATATTGTGATCGACGGCAAGTCCAGCATACGCCAGAAACCCAAAGATTCATCGGTGAGTTGACAACTGTCCCCTGCCCCCCGACCCCCTACCCCCTACCCCCTACCCCTTCTCGCACTCTTCATTTACGCCGAAATCTGCCCAAATTGATTTCCGCATTAATGAAGGCGACCCGTTATTTTCCTCATTGTGACTAACTACATAATGTGCTACACACACACACACACGCACACGCACACAAGATAGTACGTACTACTAGCACGTTAGTCATGACTAATGCCCACTCACCGTAATACTTGAGTTGCCAGATAGTGTGGGTTCTTTTTTGTTCTGTTTTTGTTTGAAAAGGATAAGATAAGATTAGTTGTTGTTGTTGTTGTTGTTGTTGTTGTTGTTGTACAGTGTGTGTGTGGGCCAGCAATTGATTGTAACGGCAGCCGCAAGCAGAATTTGTCGCATTGTAATAATAAGCGGCTCTTATCGGATATCGAGTTATCAGTTCTTCAGTACAGGGTATTTTGAGCAAAACATAACGCACAGACAAGCCCAAATTCTGAATTTGTTTGAAAAACTGCAAAGTTACACATTTTCTGACTTGATTTTGTTTAAGCATTAAGAATTTATCGATTCGGAGAGTTTTAATCGCAGGCTTGTCCGCTCGAGCATGCTTTCACTGTACTAGATATACCCTATGTTTATTCTAGTTGCGGGCATTTTCAGTTCTTTTTTTTTTTGGCATTTTTAATTGCAGCTGCGTATTGGCCTTAATTTCACTTTCGTTTAACTTTTAATCGCTGTCAAAATAAATAAAAAAAAAAAAAAACAGTTGTTAAACAATTAACAGCAATTATATTTTGAAGCGAGCGGGGCCAGTATTTCGTTTCGTTTTATTTGATTTATTTTTATTTTTTTTTTTCTAAATTTTTCCCTTTGTCAGAAATTCATATTTTTTGCACGCTTGTATTAAGGGCAGAAGATGAAGAAGCATAAGAAAACTTACTTGAGCCACTTTCATTTGCCTTTGTTTCATTTTATCGGTCGTCGCTTTGCTCTTCTCCGGAAGAAGCCGAAGAAGAATAAGGGGCGGAAGAAGCTGCTCGTAATCTGCGCAGATTAAATGTTGTTAACATGCTGTTAGCGCTGTTAACTTGCTGTTAGCGCGGTTAACGTGTTGTTTAGCTGTTAACATGTCGTTAAGCTGTTTACATGCCGTTATGCTGTTAACATGTTAGGCTGTTAGCATGTTGTTAAGCTGTTAACATGCTGTTCAACTCTTAACATGCGGCTTATCTGTTAAACTATAACTGTTCTTTTAGAAAATTCAAATACTTTGCTTTTGATCGAAGAGCTACATCAGTTCGATCGCCCAGCTAGGGTATTCGAGCTGCGACTACAGCAATTGCAACCATTCCAAGTCGTTTAATTTTTTTTATTTATGTTTTTCATTTCCTTGTGCGTTATCACGTTAACTTATTTATTTATTTGTTGCTGCCGTCGCTATTAATCAAAATGCATTAAAAGTGGCTTTTTAGGGGTTTCTCGTTGTTCTTTCAAAGTGGTTTTATGAGGTGAGGCCTGTGGGGTGGGGTGGGGAGCGGGGGGTGTGTGTGGTTAGGGTGCGTTTCATCAATGTGGCAGATATTGAACATGTTGTTGTTATTTTTTTATATAACTAACCATTTCTTTCGTTTCGTTCGTTTTACAGTTCCGCGTACAATTTAACGATACGTTAACGTCAACGTTTGAATATCCCTCCGAGGCATCGCAGACCATTGACGATCCGCCGTATGCCGATCCCTACGGTAATGTTACCAAGCATCATCAGCTCTTCTACGAGGAGCACCTCAGGTTGCAGCACCAGCAACAACAACAACAGCAGCAGCAACAACAGCAGCAGCAACAACAACAACATCATCATGTTACAGTCGATGAGATAATTGAGCTGCCGACAGCCGCGGCGACATCCTCCGCGTCGCATAAGACGTCGGGGACCAGCGCAATGCTGGGAAATTTACCATTAGGTAAGTGTGGCAACCCTGTCATAAACATACATACATACATATATCTACATATGTGTGCATATATGCATGCCTGCCAAGAGCCGCAATTGCCTCTCTTTCGCTCTCTCTCTCTCTCGCTCTCTGTCTCTCTCTATCTGTGTTCTCTCTTTGTCTTTGTTCTTTAATAAGTGTCTATATATACATATCTCTGTCTTTTTTGTAGTGCTGTGCTCTTGAGTTTTAACACTTTTTATTGGCGCCATCTGTGCAGCGGGGAGGGGGGTTAGACAGCAATTAGTACACTTTAACACAAACACACGCTCTCTCACACACTCTCTCTCTCTCTCTCTCTCTCTCTACACCTCACATGCACGCAGCATCCTGTTATAACATACTCACCACACCTACATACAATACTCAACATACGATGTTCCATTTGCATTTGCATGCCAACAACAACAACAACAAGAAAAATCTCTGCACTTTACAGAAAACGCCACTGTTACAGTTAACATAGCGATTGCCGCTAACTCGTCCAATTCAACTAGCTTGTCTAGGGACTGGCTGAGGGGTGCCAGGGCTGCCAGGGCTGCATGCTGCTGCTGCCTGACGCCCTGCTGGCAATTGGCGTTGCCACCTTGCAGGCAGCTGATCAAAAGATTTCGCAAACTAATTCAGCTCATCAGGTGGGTGGACGCCCAAGCAGCCAGCTCCCCCCCAAAGCCCCCAAGCCCCTACCCCTCTTATAGCCCCAAACAGAAAACTATGCTATCTCAAGCTCCCAGCCGACTGTGACCCTTGACCCCTGAGCACCCCAGCACCTCACCAAACGGCGCAGCCTGTCAGGCTTTCAATTTAAGCATCACGCATATTTGCAGATTACCCAAGTTTGGGGAGGGGTATTATCTTGCAACAGCCACAGCAAATGGATGCCCCACAACAACAACCACAACAACAGCAGCAGCAGCAACAACAACAACAACAACAACGTCGTAGACCGTCGGTTCTGTTAAAGCCGCAATATGCCTGCTTTCTGCAAAATGATGCAGTGCAGCCGCCGCATCAGGCAAAGCGTAAAGCTGCCTCCTTCTCGCATGCCGCCAAGCCACAACAGCCGAGTAAATACATTAAACACAATCCAACAACAACAACAACGACAACAGCAACAGCAGCAACAACAACAACCTGCAGCAATGGAAGCTCCTTGAGTCGCCGTCGCGGCAGTCTGCCTGTAGCCACACACCTGTCGTCCACGCCGTCGTCGTCTTCGCTAGCGCTACCCAACGCCTCCACAGCCCTGCTGCAGGCACGCATACCAGGCAATACACTCTACTATGTCTGATCCAAAAGTTGAACCGTCGCGGAAACGCTCCAAGCTGCTACACAACTCCACAAAACTCTGCTTTACTGCTCTCCGATCAATCCTGTCTCTGTGAAACGTAGGCAAACTCAAGCTATTTAATTGTACTCGTCGTAAGCCCAGCTCCCAACTTGGCTAACAACTCGCACACACACACAACGAGTTGTCTAGTTACTCGCTACGGTTTCGGCTGTTGTATACTCACTCGCTAATCCCAATCCCTACGGTAACTTACGATTTGTTAAGACAGAGCAACGAGCTGCTGACTCGTTACTCGCTGCTCGCTACTCGCTACTCGTTATGGTTGAGGCTCAGACACTCCTCTACACTCACTTGCCCATCCTGATTCCTTTAATCCGAACGGTTGCTGATTTGGCTAAAACACTCAAACACACGCCAAAGGCAGCTAATTATTGTTACTCGCTGTACTTGGTACTCGCTATCGTAAAGTCGCATACCCTTGTTTACCCCCTGGCCCAAGCGTATCCCTTTAATATATATGGTTGCTTGTTAGTCGCTGCTTGTTACTCGTTACTCGCTTTGGTTGAGGCCCCGACTCTCTCACACGCCCAACCAGATTTCAGATATCTCCCTTTAATCCCTTCAGTATAAAGTTTGGTTTACACTTGCGCAAAGCGAAACCAATTCTCTTGTTACTCGCTACACGTTACTTCTTACCCGTTATGGTTAAGGGCCTGCCTTTCTTACTCGCCCAACCAGTTAACAGATACAGATATGTAATCCCTTTTTGGTATCATGGTTGGTATAGACACGCGCATTCACTCGTAACTCGCTACTCGTTACTTCCTACTCGCTATGATTAAGAAAGGGCCTGGCCCGTCGTTGCCTGTTAGGTTCCTTGGAGTAAATCCGCGTTCAGGAATCCTGCTACCTTTCTAATATGATCGTATCATCCTAAAATGTAAGCTCCCAAAAGCAGCGAGCTCTCTCTCGTTACTCGTTACTTGCTACGTTGTTGGACAAGGCTCTCCTTCCACCTGGTGCATTGTTGTCCTCGCTAACTAACCCGTTTTTGATGTCAAAATCAGTTCTCAGACTGGTTTTGGTTGTCCCCACGCCACACTCCTTGTAATTTGTATAATTTTGTTATTATTTTTTAATCGTAATTTTAAATGTGTAGAGCTTTGGCTTTGGCTTTAACAGAGGTTGCTTTTCTTTTTTTTTTTTTTTTCGTTTATCAACACTCTTCTGTTTTGTGGCACAAACTTTAACGATGTGGCAACACTAAAACTAGATAATGTATGCGTTAAGTTGGCTGCGCCTCATGCCTAACACGAATTTAAGCTAGTTTTAAGTTGTATTCACTTCTTGGCACGTTTCGTATTGCATTTGGTTCAAGTTTCCTGCTCATGATCTATAAATAAGTCTTTACTAACACACTAACAAATATTTCCCACCTAATATATGTACATATATATATATATATATATACTTCTACTAAATACGATTTTCATTTAAACCATTTCTTGTTTTTCTCTACCCTTTTTTTGTTTTCTCTCTTGTGTTTACTAATTTCTTTTGCAGATATTATTTAAAACTAATCACAGAATACTTTGAAATAATATCTATATAATATACAAGCTATAACTATAATATCATATATATACATATATGCATATATATATATATATATATGTTTATATATATAACGAAATCAAAGTAAAATGAAAAAAATAACTAAACTGAAACTGGCGGCAACAAGTGCAAAGCAACGTCTCTCTCTCTCTCTCTCTCGCGCTCGAACAGCCCACCTCTAACCAAAATCCATCCTCTCTATGCACCGCTGCCGTTCGTTGACAACACTGGCAAATACTTTCGGTGTTGGTTAGCAACTGAAGCCTAACACAAATGCAAACAAAACTAATCGCCAATTCATATTAACTTCTAAGGTAACTAACCCCAATTGGAAACCAATCCACACACACACACGCACACACATTTATAATTTTGTTTCACCTTAATTTGCACATTAACCAACACTGATGCTCAGATGCTCTACAATTTATGCTTAAGTTCAATTGAATGCAACACTAATTTGGGCGTGTGTTTCCCCACCCCCCCGCATTATTTCAGGCTCTACGGCCCTGGGCTTCTACACCCCCCTTAAGGCCTCGCCCATGGACAGCCTCTTCCAGCTGGGCGTCACGCGCTATGCCACGCCCGACAGCAGCAGCAGCAGCAACGGCAGCCCAGCCACAAATGGCGGCAGCTACAACGGCAACGGCAGCGGAGAGGGACACAGCAAGGAGGAGAGCGACGGCAAGGAGCTGGCGGCTGCGCCCGACGATGTCGAGGATTATCTGACCACCTCGGCGCCGCCGACGCCGACGGGCGGCATTGTGTACAGCGAGGGCGCCCAAAAGACCGATCTATTGTACTGAACGAACCAGTTCCGTTTCGAGCCGGAAACAGATTTACAAACGGAACCGGAACCGGAAGCGGAACCCGTAGCAGATCCTGAAACGCGCTGAGCTTCGTTTAAATACGTATATATATATATACATAGATATTATTGATAAGTTTGTAGGCCTAAAATGCGTTTGCAAAAACAGAAAAAGAAAACATTTTTTTTTTTTAAATATATATATAAATATTAAAATATACATAATACTACTATTATATATATATATATTATTGTAATGTATCTTTGGCACTGAGCAACCGTAAATTTTTTTTTTATTTCGGCAAGTGTATTTGTATTTGTATTTCGAGTTGTTTTTTTTTTTTTTTTTTTTTTTTTTTTTTGTGTATTACGTCTATACCTATATATTATATATACATGTAACGATATATTTACTTTCGATTGTGTATGTTAAAACCGAAACAAAACAAGAGAAAAGCAAAAAACAAAAAAAAAAGAAGAAAATATTGTAAACACCGAGGTTGAGCCACGTATTTAACAACCACATTCAAGCCCGTTGTGGAGTATTAATAAACCGTAATCATTAAGCAAAAAACTAAATGTTTTTTTCCATAAACTTTGCTTCAATCGTAGAAAACAACAGAAAATTGTAAACATTTGCCCAATTATTATAAAGTCTGTTTCATATTTTTTACAATTGTATTCTATTCAACAACAAAAACAAAAAACAAACGAAAACAAAACGTAAAGAAAACTATAAACTCATAAATATATACGTGTATGTCAAATAAACAAAATTAAAAACAAAAACAAGAAAAAACATGTCAAATGTAATTGAAGCAAGAAATTCAAACTCTGCAACGGTTTTTGTTCTATAGTGGCAACGCTGTGCGCGCGCTGCCACATCGTTGGCTATCGGTGACTATCGCACAGCTGGCACGTAACTATCGCACGATAAGAGCGGGTTGCATTGCGTTTTTGTATCGGCATATCGGTGCATGTGCACTCGATATCGATAGCTGTTTTATTTGTGGTACTTGTAAATGTTTCGGTAGTATTGTGATTGTTGTGTCCAAAATACAGGCTTTTGTTTGCCTATTTAATATTGCTAAATACCAACTGAGTTAATTATGCCCGCAACGTTTCAACACTGCAGCAGCTGTTCGTGCGTCCGGTGTATGTGCAATGCAAACTCCCCTCGCCAACTGTATTACTTTTAACCTTAGTTGACATTGAAATGTACCCGCTAGAGGCGGAGACAGTGCGTCGGTCTGGCTGGCTGGCTGCCTGCCTGTACGCTGGTGTTGTGTGTTGTGTGCGCTAGAAAAGGAGAACAAACCTCGAATTGAAATCTGCAGCCCCTTGGGACATGTGCAGCGCGCCTTCAACTTACCAAAAAATAAGAAAATTAGTGCAAATGATAAGCAATAGCAACAGTGACCAACTCACCTGCGGCAACAAAAACACGCAAGCAAAGCAGCGACTGTGACGTCGACTGCAACAGCAGCTGTGGCAGAGACGACGCTCGAGTTCGGTTTCGTCTGTTGGCCCGTGTGTCCGTCCAGTGCTAGTAAATGTGCAATAAAACTGATCAAAACAAACAGTTAATATAGTGAGTGCAAGAGAGTGTGAGAGAGAGCGAGAGAGAGTGTTGGAGGGGAAGGGGGTGTCTGTCTGTGTGAGTGGGAGTGAGTGCATGTAATTAAGCATGTGAACGCAATTGTCGCCATTTATTGGGCCACGCGTTGTGTAATCATTCATAAGCGCAAAACTAAAAAAAAAACCTAAAGAAAAAAAGAAATGCTAATTCTTTTTTATTTGATTTGATTTTTTGTTATTTTTTTTTTGTTTTTGTTGTTGTTCTGTTTAAATCGATTTGTTGTAGCTGGCATTCGTTATTAATTAAATCAGCAGCCGCAGCGGCAGCCGTAACAACAGCTGAGTGTGAGCGAGCCAGCGAGTGGGAATGAGAGAGCAACAGCAGCAACAGCAGCCCACATTTGACTTATACAGCAACAACAATTGCTGCTACTGCTTCTTCTTATACCAAGTCAGCCACCAGCCAGAGCTGCAAAACACCGGCACAACAGCAGCAGCGGCAGCAGAGGCAGCAGCAGCAGCAGCAGCAGCAGCAGCGGCAGCGACGCCAACGTCAACGATTTGTTGGTAATTAAAAGCAAAAAGAGAACTGAACAGCGCAGCAGCAGCGCTCGCAGCAGAGCCCCCCCTCAAACGCAGGCATCGGACAGTTGTCGGCACATAACGGAACAGATTCAATTCGTGCACTGATCGCATCGCAACGCGTCGCGTCGCGTCGTTTATAAAAATAGCAGCACGCCAAAAGAGCGACAGAGAGAGAGAGAGAGAGAGAGAGAGAGAGAGAGAGAGCGAGATTTAACGGTGTGGGGGGATTATTGTTGAATTGGATTCTGTCGCCAACACACAACTGCGGATTTGGATTACAATTAACAACAACAACAACAACGAGAAGAAGGAGAAGCAGAAGAAGTGAAAGAAGAACAAGTGAAGTGCGCTGTTGCCGCTGCGCCGTCTGAGAACGTCGCCAAAATTTCACTCGATCTAATGGCCAAAGACGAAGAGGACGATCTGCTGCCCGACAAGGATGCGGCCAAGGGCTTCTATGCCAAATATGAACCCAAAGAAATATTGGGCAGGTAAGAAATACCTTGACTTAATAAAGCTACAAGTTTATTATGCATTAAAAAGGGACAGAAAGAGCATAAAGGTTAAGGCAAAAAAGAAAGCATCCCGATCTCAAAAACATGATCCAGATCCCGCCTTTGTCCCTCGGTCCTTCGATATCCGGAACTACTTGAGCTGGAGACTTGAAATTTGTCTTATAAACTCACCTTAAGCTACGCGGATCGAGCCTCTGAGTTCTTCTTGTCAATAACTCATTTTATTTCCATATTATCGAAAGTTCCTTTTGTTCTCATATAATCGATAACTCCTTTTATTACCATATTATCGATAACTTCTTTCTTTTCCATATTATCGATAACTCCTTTCATTTTCTTATTATCGATAACACTTTTTATCTACAAGTTATCGATAACTCTTTTAATTTCCATATTACCGATAACTATATCCATTTCCATACCATCGATAACTCTTTTTATCTACATATTATCGATAACTCCTTTCATTTCCATATTATCGATAAACATTTGTTGAGACTTGGGATAGCTCTTTTTAAGGATAACTCGAAGATTATGAGAGCTATCCACACCAAACCTGGTATGCAGGTTATATATAGTTTATACGAATAAAAAATATTCCATTTATCGGATACAATTCCCCATTCTCGCAAATATCGAACAATTTGAATAAATAGTTACATCTATTTCTGTTCCCTCGACTAGATAAACGCTTCGATCTCGAGAACCTCTTTTAGGTCCTTCCAAGTAGCACAAACTCTTCTCGAATCATTGATAACTTGCCCAGTCTCAATTAAATCGTTATCGATAACCACTTTGCTGAGCATTTATCGAAGTTTCTTAGGAGCTTGAGAAGCCAACTTTTGGTCTGTAGTTTCTGGCATAGTCACAGAATCGAAATGGATTCACTTTCGTCTCCAAATAAACTAAAAAATGCAAAAATCGATAACTGGTCCGATTTTCATTATATTGTTATCGATATCCTGTCTCTTGTCCATAAATTGAAGCTTTTAGAAGCCAAAGAACTCAACTTTCGGTATGTACTTTCACAGAATCTAAATGGATTCACTTTCGTAACAAGAAGAAGAAAGAAAAGTGAATTTTAAGAGCTTTAAAATAATCGATAATCGATAAATTTGCCGCAATTCCATGAAATCGATATCGCAATTGTGTTTTTTTTTATTCTGGGAAGTAAAGGAAAACCTCTTCCAAAGTTTTCTCTGTTCTCAGATATTCCGAGTACTTGGATATATCCGGGCATTTGGGGTATTTGGATAGAGCATTCGCTGGTTCAGTCTGTGCCCGGAACTATTGTTGATTTATTGTTGCTCTTTTGTGCCGACTTGGCGCAATTGTAAACTTTGTTTATTTCAATTCATTTCTTATTTGATTTATTTGATTTTTTATTTTATTCTTTGTTTTATTTCCATTTCGCTTTTCTGCAACGAGTTGCCCAATTATTGCGCTATGACTCAACGCGTTGGCGTCTTCGAGCTCGAGCTCGAGACGTGTGAACTGTCGCGTAGTACCCCAAAATTCATGGGAATTAAACCCAAAACCAGCTACCTACCTCCCTTGGGGGGGTAGAGGGCGTTGGCAAGAGGCGTAGGGAGGGGAGGGGAGCGGGGGAGAGCTCTGTTAATATGAAGGAAGACCCCATGGAAGCAAAGCCCTGGTCAGGCCCTATGGAGAATACCCCACGGGCAGTTAACACTCTGCTAGAGTCTAGTGAAGAATCCCCCTCTACTAGACCCTGTGCAGGATATACCCTATGGATGATACCCCCTGGAAGATCAGCCCCTGCTAGACCCTGTGCAGGATATACCCGCTGCTGGATGCTCCCCTGTTAGACCCTATGGCAGATATCCTCCATCTAGATCCCCGGTGAAAGATACTCCTCTGATAGATCATGTGCAGGTTATGTCACCTGTTAGTCCCTATGGAAGATATGCCCCAGCATAGACTCCTCTGCTGGAACCTATGAAAGATTCCCACCCAGCTAGACCCTTTGGCAGCTGCCCTCCCCGCTAGACTCTGTGGAAGATACTCCTCTACTGGATCCCATGGATGATTCGCCTCTGCTAGACCCTGTGAAAGATAATCCCCTGGCAGATAGCCCTTCTGTTATCGCCCTCCTGCTAGACCCTATAAAAGCTGCCCCTTCCCCCCGCTGCTGGAACCTGTGTATCTTTCGCACCCTGGCGCATGGCCCTACCCTCGGTCAATATTTGCTCTATGGCACCTTGAATTGAACTTGAGCTCGTCAAGAAATGCTGAGCATGGAGCAGAGGTATCTGGCATCCGGTTACGACGTGTGCAGCTCGTAAAGCTGTAACTGATGTAAGCAACTTTTTAGGGCCTCAGACCTTATCGGGATTAGATAGCGCCAATCTGCAGCGCCCCCCCCCACGCCCTGCCTCTCCCTCTCTCTGTCTTTAGCATGCCTGCATTCCCCCCGCAATCCCAGCACATAGATGACTGTTAGCCCTTGAAATCCCTGGACAAGCTGCTCCGAATCTTTGAAGCAGCAGATACTTTGTTTAAAGATCGTTAATAACATTGATTATTTGCAATTTTGCAGGGGCATCAGCTCGACGGTGCGACGCTGCATTGAGAAGGAGACGGGCAAGGAGT